TGAAAGATAGGAACAAGATTTCAGTTTCTAATTGTATCCAAAAGTATCTATGTTGTACACGATATACATTACTATTAGAACTATGGTTTTTCCCTTCGTATTCAAAGCTAAGAAAATTTGCGACGTCGCACGCGTCGTTCGCGCTGCCGCACTTCGTTGCAACTGCTGTTCGATTTGTGCTCATATCTCCTAAACAAATATCGGCTGCACAACTTTACATAGTTATCTGAAAAGTAAAAGCTTAGACCTTTGACTTGATAACCTTGGACAAAAAGAAAACCTTCTGTAAACGTTGAAAAGGTCCTTCTAAGGCGCTTGCTGCACCATGTGCAGCACCGGTCCGAAACGTGTTAAGACGATAGATGTCTCATCTATATTGATGCTTTTGACTAAGTATCTTTTCCTTGTTAGTTAAAACACATTGAAATAGAATAAAGCACAAGTCTGAACCTGAGCGCATGGGCATGTGAGCCTCTCATAGGGAAGTACGATCATTTTTCCTGAAAGCAATAGAGTCGTTGTCTTTCGAGACATGCGGCTGTAGTATTTTATTTACAGTCCGCTTCAAATCTTGATAGGCCAAAATTAGGAGGCTCTCGCGGCAACGCTTCGCGCTGCATTGCGACACTACGGGTAGACAACTATGTGTCGCCGAAAATGCCACGCAACATCCTCCAACAATCGTGCACCTCTTGCATGTATTAGAGTACAATTTGTTGCAGATGTCTCCGTTCGGCTCCTCCTCTCTTGGCGGGTAGGGGACTACCTACTATGTGTCGCTGAAAGAGATAGTTTCGCCCGGACATCTGCGACAGGATAGGTTCGCAGCTGTCCGCACAAATTGAACACTGTAAAATTTGTATCGGTTGTCTGCGCGGGCTAAGTTATGGGCGACTTATAGTCCTCTACCCCCTTTTGGCGACTATAAGCTTCTACCCCGACATAGCTGTATATCGTGCTGGAGCTGTGCCGGTCGAATTCTAGTGGCACCTCCAAATTTTTCGGCGCACGCTGAAAGAACAGCTTACAGCTTGCTTCAATCAAGTTCAGAAGAAAATCAGAATGCGAGTCCGCCTTGCAACGTTTGGGCAACGACAGTACATCATATCGTGCTAGAATGAGTGTCTGTATCTCGTTATTTTCCTCGATTCCAAGTGGCGAAATGCCAATGTTATGCGCTCGCAAGGCCTCCAGCGAAGCGGACTTGCCGCTCTACGTAAAGTGCTTCGGTTTACCTCCGAACAGACTGTAAATGCAGCTCAATCTGCCGATGTCTACGCGTCAAAGGGATGAATGCTTTTTTATTCGTTTGCACGGAAAAAGCTGCCATGCTATCATTGCTTTCAACGGTTGTGCGTAAAAAAATAGCCATACAGCGCACATTCTCAGTTCATGCGCCCATGGTCTTTTTACGCGCATGTGTTGTCGGCATCGCGCACGCACTATATCAACTGCTGAAAGTACTGGACTGCAAGTAATATAGGATAAGGACCTTAGGAAGGTGTGATGCAGAGATTGTTCCAGGTGTGCGTAAAGCAGAAAACTTGTTCATGCCCAGATCTCTTTTATTAGGTTGAGCAAAAGTAATGGCCGTAGACTATGGGTTCTTGAAGCTAAAAGTGACTTTTCTGAAGAATCAATGAAGATATTTACCAGGCTGTGATTTCACAGTCATGCTTCGGGGGCTTTGTGGTACACAACACCTAAATTGTAATAAAGGGGCGGGGTTAGAAGCGGAGCTTGCCCATTTTCGATTTTCGTTTTTCTCTCAAATTCTAAGTGAGAGAAAATTACAGCAAGTGCATAAATGAACGTTACTATGTGTCTACTATGTGATGGCCAACTGGGAGACCTGTAGGATTTCTCCGGGAAAAAATCCGATTTTTGAAGTGGCTAAACGCTCATAGATTTTGGCATCAAACTTTACGTAGACCAGATGTTTGGATAGTTTCTTGGCAGTCATTTTGTAGAGCTTGCTTCGCTCTATCGAAAGGTACCTCATTCGTAAAATTCTATGATCACATGCTGTGGTAGCGTATGCTACGGCCATTATGTTTGCATTAACCTAATAATTTCCTTCGAAGTTAAATGCTTTTACTTCCGTGATCACCAGGGTTGAGCAAGAGGTCAGGCACAAGTCCTTCAAAAACGACCCCCCCCCCTTGTGAAAGCCCCTAAAATGACTCCTCCGCTTCACCTCCAGGACCTCAGACTGTGGTATTTCGAAGAAGACCAGTTTTTACTGGAGGATTCTTGTTTTTTGGCCATAGGCCCAACTTTCTGCGAAACGCACAACCTCCGCAACTTGACGGTAAGTTTTGAACTTGGATAGCCCTCTTTTCAGAGTTATACTCTTTGCAAGGGTGGAGTGTTTGGCTCCAAATTTTCAATATAGCAAAAAGAGGCTTTGCGCTCAGTACTCATACTAAGAAAGGTGCGATTTTTGAATACTGAAGGCAAGTTAAGGGGGTCAGGCGCAACCCCTCAAAAGCTCAGGCGGCCTGACCTTTTGAGGGGTTGCGCCTGACCCCATTAACTTCATTTTCGAGGAAGCTTTCCTATCCAAGTTTCATGTAATTCGCTAGCACAACTCTCGAAGATTTCACAATAAGTGTTTGAGCTTGTTTCGACTTGTTTCGGCCTTGTAGTAATCCGTAGAGTTAGAGCACTTAATGTGAAGAATGCGCCGGTTGGAAATTTGGCAGCACTCCTTACTTCACTATTTGAAAGCGATATGAGGCCTAATTTCTGGCATAGACTTGTAGGGAACGTTACTTTGTTATGAGTATAAAAAAGCTGACTATTTTCACTTTTGAAGCCAAGTTAATCATGTTTGAAAATCACGCTTTCTAGATGTTGTGAAACACTAGAAAATGCGGTAGGTAATGACTTTAGAGCTCATAGAGGTAATCTGACATGCTTATGGAAATAATACCCATCACAGCAAGCTTACTTGGCTCATGATATGTGAAGGTAAAAGACGAAGACTTGAATTTGGCTGAAATTTCGATTGTGGAAACAATCAGTATGCTGTTTGCGACCGTCATTCCTCCGTACTGGTGATTGCGATATCCACCGGACTAGCGCATTTCTTCTTCACCTTCGTAGTATCTCCCCAACTAAACGGATTCGGTTCTTAACTTCGGTTCTTACGACCTCCGCCCCTCAGTCATACCCCCAAGACGACCCCCAGGTCGGGCGCGCCTGACCTCACGCTCAACCCTGGTGATCACTGTCGGTGAAAGAGTATGAATTTTGTGCACTAGATATCGGTAATCAATCACCTCATAACGCATCAAATGTGTAGCAGAGGTCCACAGACCAACAATTCCTGCGGCAACTCTGTTAGATTCCGCGTTCCCATACAGTACGCTGTGTAGCAAACACAGAAGAAATAAAAGGCTGAACTCTTCTAGACAAATTGTATATGATGTGCGGGTGATGCAAAAGTCCCTGGGCATATAGTCGAGTAGATCTCCCGCTTAATATAGTGTGCTTGCACAGAAGGTGAAATGCGGTAAAATTTACGCGTGAAGAAATAGCTCCGAGTGACGCCGCCAATGGCGCGCAAGATTCCCGCAGTACTGGCGTGGCTACTTGTTCATGCGCAATTTCATCGCATTTCACCTTCTGTGCAAGCACACTATATTAAGCCGATCTACTCAACTGTACCTCACGCAATTTTAGTCGCGACGCGACTTGGCAATACTCCAGTTGTTCATGACTCATCGTAAGGGCATTCTGAATGTATAGAAGATAGGGCGTCTATCAACTAACGAAAGTTATACATGTGCACATTTGGGGGTCTGCCAGTATTGAATTTGAAGACAAGCGGCAAAATGCCAGGTCGCGTGGCGACTGAAATCGCATGAGGTATGTCCAGGGCCAAACGCGCGAAATCATAACTGATTCCTTCGTCGAGCTGAGTAATCATCTCCATTTCAAAATTTGATATCATTTCATTTGAACCGTCTCTTCCTTGGCTTCACGACGTTCAGTAACTTTTTGCAAAAGATATTTAATTCGCCATCTACGGAATAGCTAGAATTAGAATTTGATCTTGTTATCATACTCCTCATGTCTCGCCTTTCTTCTTAGTATTTTTCCTCAGTCGTGCTACACGCTTGTATAAGTCAAAACAAAACGTCATTTACAACGTACTCGACCTCTTAGTAAGCTTTTCGGCAATACACTCAAATGCCTTGTTCAGTCAACCGTATATCAGCTCCATTGTTGCGGGTCAACCACCTTTGTTTACCTTAGTCAAAGCTTACCAACCGCTACTCCAACTCTGCTGATTGAAGCGCAATTTCCTGATGCGAATGATTCTAAGCTATACCGTAACGGTGTTTATGCGATGCAGTAGTTCTGGAATTTCGGTGATTATCGATTGCTGAACCCGTCCATCCTGCTTCATGCCTTTGGTCACACGTTTGGACGGCGGCGGTCTTTCTACTCTTTCGTTTTTGGTCTGGCACTTTTCTTTTATCTAGTTGCTATCGTCACATTTTATGGCCCTGTTGCATTCTCTCGGTGATTATACGTGTCGTCAGTGATGTCTTGACGGGATACGAAGTTGTTAATCCATCAAGTAATGTAATCAGTATTACAAGGCTAATGAATCCAATCACACTGCAGTTCTTATTCATTTTTCTCTCCGTCTTTGTTCAAGCACAATCTTTTACCTGACGATTCGCTTACCACCTGAAAGTTCTCCTTTGATTCAAGGATCACATTCGTGTCGCCAGATGTTCTTTTGTTTGAGGCAACAAATGAACATGTTTTTAGGTAAACTCCCACAATTTGTCGGTTTTTTCTATCGTACTTATAGTTTCATGGCCGTATTCCATTGTCCTCCGCTATGATGATTGCCCTTTCACGGAGCCGCGCTGAATCCCCTCTCGAATCGATGTTTTGTTTTCGTTGTTATGCTAGGATCGATCTGTTATCTGTCATCGCCGTTCGGTTGTTTTTCGACGGATATCTCTCGTTATTTTCGTGCTAATTTCAGCATTGTGCGATGGTATTGCGAGAGTAAGCTGGCCGGGCTCCAGAGTGTACTAAAAGAAGAGAGGCCAAATGGCCAAGGAGTTCCAATTTAACTGGCGCCCCAATGTGCCTAGTTTACTCCAACATGGCTCCATTTTCGATCGCTACGATGACGTAAGTATTTCTTTTTAGGCCCCGGTCAGACTTCACGCGACTTAATCGTCGCGATCTAATCGCCAATATTTCCATTCGTTTTCACTTCACATTCAAAAATTTCGGGCTGGAAAAGTATCACAACCGAATGCAAGTTGATCAGCATGGAATGATGTTGTAACAGTTGTCGCCTCGCGATTCAGTCGCGACGATCAAATCGCGTGAAGTCTGCCCGGGGCCTTAGAGCGGTTTTTTTTGCTAGATTTTTTTTCTACTCGCGCCAGCCGCGTTTAGCTCTCAAAGGACACAGGAAAATTTTGACTGTTTATAAGTACACTCGAGTAGATTTTCCGCTTAATATAGTGTGCTTGTACTGAAATGCGGTAAGACTTAGCGTGAACAAGTAGCCACGCAAGTAATGCCAGCCTTTTGCGCGCGCAATCGGCCGTCGTCACAGGCGCAGCTGCTACTTGTTCACGTGCAAATTTTGCCGCATTTCACCTTCAGTGCAAGCACACTATATTAAGCGGAAAATTTACTCTATTGTAAGCGTGTGGTTTCCAGAAATTGGTTCAAACGTCTCACCTGTTTCCTTGTATTTTATCTGCAGTGTGCTAAACTCACAGTGGTTTTTTCATTATTTCTTTCCTTTCATTCAACTCTGAGGTAGTATAGAGTATCTTATGGTAGCATATGGTTACAGGATGAAAGAAATTGTAAACCATAACTCCTTTTCTTAAACTATGTTGCTTATAGGAGAGCATTTGCTTGGAGACTAATGCCCATGTCAAAGTCGATGAATACGGGTTCTTTCTTTACTGGCTCATAGAAGCTAGAGATGCAGTCGTCTTGGACATGGGGCAGGTATGTAGTAGTCTTTATGTTATACTACATTTCAAATATCGTTCTCGTTCAAAGGTCTGGGAGGCGCGCCCCGCTGGGCTACCCAAAGATGGACGAGTACTTTTTGAACTTGAGCAACGGGGTCCTCGAGAGACACTCGAGGAAAGAACAATATGGATTACACATGGTCAAGATCTCGTCAATGTTCAGAGTTTTTACCTTGTAGCTGAGACGGTTGAAATTGCCAAGGTAAATCATAGGAGTGTATAGTGAATCACTCAGTTTTATGTGTATTCTACTCATCTTTGCAGGCGTGGCGGATAGGGATAAATGAAATTTTGAAAAACTGCAAAACTCGCCATGTTTGTCCCACGACCAATCTTCTCAGATAGTGAGTTTTCAAGTTTATCAGCTTTCGATCTTTCTCATTTCTCACTTGCTGGTTTTAAAATACTATTTGAACTGATGTTAATTGCGTTAAGCTGGAAGTGGTTAACTCTAAGTGTGAACGATCGGCGGAAAATACCCATAAAGCTTCTCGTCAAAACTTTCGCTTCTGGCAAACCCGAAAAGATGGTACTCAAATGCCTAAGCGATCTTGGTCTCTGTGGAGATAAGGTAAGTACAATACATTCCGCCTGCTACATCTTTCTTATATCCATCTCGCTTGTGCTGCCTGGCGATAAAAAATAATTGTGACTTAGTCTTTCATTTTATCTGGGCGTTAGTAAACACATTCTTCGTAGCGCTCAGAAATCCCATATAACTGCTTTTTTGTATTGCCTCCATACTTCTGTTCTTGGAACGAACAATATCGAGTTAGTATGGCTTGAGATACCTGTTAACCGGCGTGCTTGGTTGGGTTGTGTATAACCATGCCCATCTATTGCTGGAAATGGAAATTGGCAGGCTAGTCGCGCACGCCACACCCATTCAGCATCACTCCAAGGGCGACTTTCAACTTCAAAGTCATGAAGCACATTAATAGCTACATTCAGTCCAATGATGATAAAAGACTTGATGTCGACAATCTGCTGTTCCCCATAGGTACAGCACTGAGATGTCCTTGCGGCGGATGTTAGTTAAACTGTCAATCTTTATGGTGAACCAGCACGGCTTGCTCGTCATGAAATCTACAATTTCAAAACATTGCCAATTTTTGAAATGCAACAGTCAACACCCTTGTTCACCTTCTGTACCATCCATAATGAGCATGGTCGTTGAATGTTTCATCGTCGTAGTCTGGTGTTTGAGTTCCGCAGTAACTTTTGAGACCACTAATAACTCCTTGCAAATATGCGATACAACGCAAACAAAGTTTCTTGTCTTGTGAATAAATGAGCTGGTGAACTGGGACCAGCGCATCGAGTCACATGGCGGTAAGTAATGTCTAAGCCGTTTCGACTGCTAGTCGCTTACTCGATGTTGTTTACCTTATTTACGTGTTGTGATTGTGTTGTAGTTTGTAGTACACGGTTCCGCGAGTGATGAATCGTTCGATGGGCAAGAAGATCAGCAACATCTACAAATGCAGTAACAGTCGGAAGAAGAAGGTGCATGATCCTTTCCTTGTTTGTGGTTTGGTACAATTTTCGTTCCTCATCGTTTACGTTGTGATGTTTTGCAATCCTGGCATGCAAGAATTTCGAGTAACCTTTGAGCTTGCTGATCTGTTATTTATTTACCAGAGATAAGATGCTGGTGCCAGCTGCTTTTCATCACTAAGAAACATTTAAAATAATATATTGTCTGCATGTGCAATGAGCGTTTTGATACGAGCTTGAAGAATTGAACAACTTATATATTTTGAGCTGTACTTAGGAAAAAATGCAAATGTAGAACACATCTTACTTTTCATTTGTAACGTACCATGTTTTCGCTTGTTCAGGAGCGAGAAGAATTAGATGTGGAAATACTGACTTTTGAGAAGTTTATTCGACTCTACAACAAGATTTGTCCGCGTTCCGAAGTTCAGGAGCTGTTTGTCAAATTGTGAGTTTTCTTCGAAATGTCTCCTACGTTTTTTTGCTTTTCGTCATCGTTTTTCTTCATCTTCAAATGTACTTCAATCACTCATGCACGCCACATTGTTTCCTCTCCAGAAATCATAGTTGAAATATCGATTTTTGTTAAAGCGAATTGAGATGATCTCTTTTGACAGTAAAACATCTGCAATGAAAGTCGTCCGCCATCATTTCTAGTTTTAAACATTTTAGGAGCGGGCAGAAAGAGTATCTTACACGAGATCGATTGACTAACTTCCTAAATGAGGAGCAAAGGGATCCCAGGCTAAATGAAATACTTTTTCCCTTTTTCGACAACACCAAGACACAAGTACTCATAGGCAAGTATGAGCAAGACAACAACTATATAGAAAATGGTAAGTGTGGTTATATAATTATTGGTGTTCTCTCTGCTTACCGAGAATTGTGGCAGGAAAAATGTCTGGAGACGCGTTTCTTCGTTTCTTGATGTCTGATGAGAATTCACCCGTGTTCTTGGATCGAATTGACATGCACCAGGATATGGATCAACCGCTCTGTCACTACTACATTAATAGGTAAACGAACCTCTTTGTGGAAATTGTGATGCCTTATATAAGTCATTCCAGTTCACATAATACGTATTTGACGGGTCGTCAGTATGGAGGGAAATCTTCCTCTGAAATTTACCGACAAGTATGTTAACGCACACTCGATATCTTATCTCCATTGTGATTCTAGGTTTTATTGTCGGGTTGCCGCTGTATTGAGCTAGATTGTTGGGACGGAACGGGAGAAAATAAGGGAGAACCGATTATCACACACGGGAAAGCGATGTGCACAGATGTCTTCTTCAAGGTACTGTTGTCTTTGCTTCATAATATCCATTCTTTCATTTTTCATTCATCTTAAAATTGTGACGTTCAGGATGTACTTTATCAAATACGGGACACGGCATTTGCTCGGTCGGAATATCCTGTCATTCTCTCCTTCGAAAACCATTGCTCCAAATCAAATCAGCTGAAAATGGCCAAGTACTGCATGGACATATTTGGCGACTTGTTGCTGAGTAAACCGCTGGAAGACTACCCCGTTTGTTTCTTATTTCGTTCCGCTTCGAAAATTTGTACTCATCTTCATGACTAACAAACCTTGTTGATAAAAATTTAGTTGGAACCTGGAGTTCCTCTTCCATCTCCGAATCGTTTGCGAAGGAAAATTCTGATCAAAAATAAAAGACTGAAACCGGAGACAGAAAAACATCAGCTGGAACAATTTCTGCGCGAGGGAAAGCTGGATGAGGAAGACGAGATAGCTGAAACTCCCGAAGTTGTCGGCGAGGATTCCGTATCACCGCGTATGTTTCGTTTTACTTCTTTTCTTGCAATTTCTTTTGCAAAGCTGGTTTTCGAAACTGTCAAATTGACGACATAACTTATGACATTGATTGCTTCACTTGGTCCCAATTAGTTTTGTATGAGAAATAAGTTTGCTAGTCAAAAAGAATGGGTGTGCTCTCCTTTGTTACATACGTGACATGGTGGCCTCGTTCAGTTTTGCACACATCGCTAATTTCTAGTCAACTGCTTCAAAGTTTGCTTTGTTGCTTAATTTGGGTTTAAACATTGCTAGTCAAAAGTGTTTGCGTAGTTGGTCACATATGCTTTCCTCTAGAAATGTTCGTTGCAAAAGTCGGGGCAGAAAGTTTGGCGCATATTGGGAGTGACTGTACCAAATAGCAAAATCTGGTAAAATTGTACTAAAGGAGTAATTGTGCTAAAATGACTGGATGAAGGCCAAGTATTCCGTGAGAAAAACTTTTGGATTCTTCTCAGTTTTACCTGGTGTCAGCCTCCCCGTTTTAAATTACCGACCCATTATTTGTTTCCTCATTACCTGGTGTAAACCCTCATTTACCTTTTGCTTCTTCCTCAACCCTTCATTCCGCTTGTTTATAGATAGTATCATTCATCTTGCGTTGTATATATCAACAAGACACAAACGTGAAACTGTCGGCTTATTTAGTCGACTGTGAGGATGAAGACGGTGATACTTCGTCTGACGAAGACGATCCGTCTGTGCAGTCGTCGACGAATGTCAGCAGATCCACGATCTCATGCCATCCTTCCCAGCCGTCACTGGACTCACTGCAACAGCCACAAGTCCCATCTCAACTACTTTCTCCGCTCGACCGAGCACTCAGTCACAAGCTCGTGATTCGCTCGCCACGTTTCTCTCTGCGAGCCATATCTATGAAGGGTCGACAATCCCCATTAGGTGCGAACCTGAATGATCGGATGAGAATCGGTCAGCCTTTGCCTATGCAAGGGAAGGATAAATCGCATAGTTTTTGCCAAATTCGCAGCTATCTTGAAGTGATGATGTCATCTATATCGCCTTTGGACGATAATTTCGAATGTGCATCCTGAATATGCCAATTTTTTCTGAAAAGACTTGTGAGGGGTACTGCAAGGAAGAGTGAATAGCTGGAAAGTTGGCCCCATTCCTTGGACCAAGCTTGGCCCAAGAAATGGGTTCCAGAGCTAATGTACAGCATCTTGAATGCACATTTGGGTCCAGAGATGATAGGCAGTAAACATCACTTCACAGATTGCCACAGCGATTTTGTATCCTTCCCTGAACACTTTTAAGTTTGAGTTAGATCACGTAGCATTAACGATGTAGCGACGAATTATCCTTAGTATACACCCTTTTTTCTATGAATGATCAAAGTAGGTGGAAATAAGTCATTGTTTCCCGAAGAGGAAAAAGCTTTGAACCACATTTGTTTAATGTCCATTCTGTTGAAGTTCAAAGCAGGAAGAAAATTATGGACAAAGCTCTTCCTTATAGAACTCTTTGGCAAACAAGTGGTTATTTCCAACTTTGTCACCTGTTGGGGACACATTGAATTAGCGTGATCTTATTCAGACTTAAGGGCAATCTTCAGAAGCTTTCTTTGTCTTACTCATCCGATTATTCTGATTAGAGTCAAACCTGTAGTTTTCTAGTTACCCTTTGAGTGTTCTATTCCTTTTTCGCTTTTAGCTTGCATGATGCTTGTGTCTCTTGCTTGTTTCTTGAGGTTAGTATTCATTAGAGTATGAAAAATTAGGAAAGGGAAAACTTTGATTTATGGTACATGGCGCCGCAAATGGTGTTGTGACTTCTGCTCTCCATATTCCATTACCTTCGATAATTCCTTAGAGAAGAAATTTTTCGGGCCTTGCATCGTTGTAGATTTGCTTGAAGACACTGCCGAGGAAATAGGTACCTGGGTCTTACGTGATAGCTGTGGCGAGGTCTCAATACAGCCATTGCCCAAGCGCAGCATATACCTTAGCAGGAACTGTAAGTTAACTGTAATCTCCACCTAAAACTGTAAATTTTGCTGAAACTGAGGACGATGAGACTGGTGCGCTTATAAAATTCACGGTTTGAGCTGGAAATTAGATCTGATTTTACAGCCATCAATGAATAGTACGAGCTGCCGTTTGGGCAGGAACTTGGCAGAGACCTTCTAGTCGGTAACGGCATAGCTAACGCCGTACGCAGATCTACCTAGGCCCTCTAGTGAAGTTTTCAAATCAGCATTTTGCTTATAATCTGAAGATCCCGAAAGAAACTGGGAATGATGTTACCAACTTTTACTACAGATAAAATTTCCATGATCGCTTTTGTCATCTGGTCACCGCGATAGTACCAGCGTTATTATGGCTTCTTGAAGACTGTTTAGTACCATCCTGGCTGCCTCATGAATATTTCCAAATGCCTTTATGTAGTGATCATTTTTAACATCACTCTTTGTAATGCTTTCGGACCTCTGAAACTTCTCATATAATTTTCCTGCGACTGGAGATAGCGCCAAAATCCATGCCTCAATGTTAACAGGTTGACGACAACGCGCATTTTTAGTTGTCTGCCTTGTGGGACAATGCCATTTACGAACGAGTCGAAAATTTTCAACTAAAATAGAGCAGATCGTCATCTTAACTATACCTACACAAATTCTCGAAAGCGGCCAAGAAATGTCAAGGTGTTTTCTAGGGTTAGAACGTAAAAGATTTCAGAAAACGGATGTACCCAGTAATCGTTATTATTTCAAAAAAAATTTATGCCGTGACCCACCATGTGGGTCACATTGTCCCACGTGGCAGTCATTGCATGACCCACCATGTGGATCACGTTGTCAATGTGTTAGAAACTACGAACTGTAGGTATCTAACTAGAAGGTCTGCATCCTGAGTCCCATGGGCACCAGGCGAAGGGTATGCGAAGCGATGGTAGCTGTGAGAAAAACGCTGGAGCATAAAGCATAAGTTAGATCTCCGTGCGGCCGTCGGGAACAGAAACGCAAATTTCAGCGAGCAAAAGATTTTGTCAAGCTTTGCAATGCAAGATCTACTTGAATCAAGGTGTGGCGTTAGTCCAGTTGCTTGAAAAAATCTGAGCTTGATCTTAATTTGATTTTCTCAATGGACAGCCTAACCCAGTTCAAAGGCTTGTCCATCCAAACTTTGGTTCAATGAGATTTGAAGCTGTATAGCAGCGTGGCCCTCAATTACAATAATCCCACTGCAAAAGGTGAATGGTCGAAGCGAGAAAATTGCTTCGGAAAGTGGGTGGCCCAGGCGGCTCCTCCCATCAGTGTGGTGTCTGTAGGTAATAAGTCCAAAATTGGGCTCTAACGTATTTAGGATTGTCAAATCCGTGCTTCGATATGATTTTTAGATTTCCAATACTTCTGTTTACCCAGAAGCCCAGATTGAGACGTAATCTTTAGGGCCCACGTTGATGGGCGGTGCCCCGTGGGCCGCTTCCACTTTTCGCAGCAAATTTCTCGCCTCGGAACTCACCTTTCGCAGCCGGACATGGGCCATTACTTAGTCAGGGGCCCGCTATTAAATTGCATAAAAATCTCACTAACCTCAGTTTTGGGTGAACAGTGCCTTTTAACTCAGAGGAATAGGTTTTGTGGAAATTAGATCGTGGCTGTGTGAGAAGATTATCTTTTCGTATGTCATTTCTGCTCCATTCACAGTAGTGACATATTATGTTGCTAGTTTCTTCAGTTGATTTCACTCTGTCTTAGTCGGCATGGTACATAAGTAATCATGCATGTGTTCGAATCTTAAGTTGCTAGTGCTTCTCTCGCTATACTTGTGGCAGCACTGAAACTCAGCAAAGATTAGTATTCTAGTGAAGCTGCTTGATTAATGTCGAATGTTAGCTCAAACATTTATCGCCTATTCACTTAGGGATAGTGGTATTTCAGCTGGTGATCAACGTGCCCATCCGGAAGTCGAAGCCCCACCAGTAATATCCTGCCCTGTTATCAAACCGCCTACTTTGGGTAAGCTTATTTTCTTCAACAGGTTTTGCGTAAGCCAGGTTTTTCTGCTTGACATACCGTTGTAAAACAACGTATTTCTTCAAAACAATCAAAGTTTGGGTATTCTAGGACTGACATGGTCCGCATTTTTGTTTAGGAGGTGTCGGTTCATTAAGCAAAAGGCGGACCATCGTAGTAGCGGTGGTTTTTCAATGGTGTATAACAGTCATGAGGTTGTCATCATGTCACTTATTTGTTCATCATGCTGAGCGCAAGTGGTTTTTGGAATACAATACTTGCAGTAGTCATGTGAGATAATCCATGAAAATCCTCATCAAATCTGTTGTTTTGGTTGATATGGAGAGTTCGAACAAGAGTACCTGAGGAGACAAACTAGCATTTGCGCAGAGGTTATTTCTTCAGCAAATCTACTTCTCTGTTTAGGGTGCACGAAGAGTGACAAGCTGTCCAAAAAATGATACCCGTTCAGAACGTGTCCAGATGAACAAGAACACGGTGCTGAATGCGGATAATTTTTTTGGACAGCTTGTCACTCTTCGTGCACCCTAAACAGAGGAGTAAATCTACTAAGGAAATAACCTCTGCGAGATGCTAGTTTGTCTTCCCAAGTAGTCAAAACTCCTGTGCATATGAGCAGGCAGTGTGGGACTCTAGGATTCAGCTTAGATTGCAGGATGCCAAGCTCTTTGCATCACTTCTGATGCCTTGGTCTATTCCCTTACCACGCTGTTGCAAACTCAGGCAGTCTAGACGCAGGAGTGCAGCATAGGTTACAACATCTGCGCGCACATGATTACTGCATGGAAACAACAGGGCATTCGTTATTATTGAGTCCTTTAATTGGGTCCGAAAACCTTAGCTAGGTTGAACTTTACTGAGTGATAAGTTAGGAATTTCGACTAATGATGATCAGGATCAGAGATTCATTGAGTCGGAGTAGGTTCGAGGCCACATGCATTAACATCCCCACCACGGGGCATCGCAGCCTCCATATCTTCAATCTCCAGACATCTGGATTTCACAATGTCTACCTGTCCGTAAGCATTCCCACCATCCCTCACTACGAACATACTGAACAGGAGCGAGAACCTGTATGAACCGCATTTTCCAGCTTTTTGTGTGATTCCGTGGTGATCCCCGGCAGCCGATCATTTTTTCTTTGAAGTCATTTTTCTTTTTTCAAAATAAATAAGAAACACACTTAGGATGTACTGGTTATCTAACCCAGCGGTGCTGGCATGTTGCTGATGAGAACAAAGGTGTCGGAGTCATGGAATTGGCGAGTCGAAAGTTGGGGATTACCAAAAAATTCGGTATTTCAAAGCTCATCTGTTCTTATCAGCAGCATGCTTAGCACTGTTAGGTTTGATAGTTATGCAACTTTGGAATTTCTCATTAACTTCGAAAAAAGAAAAATGACATTGAAGAGAAAGCGGTCGGTCGCCGGATATCACCAGGAGACCATACAAAAAGCTGGAAGGTGCGGCTTGCGCAGCTTCTTTCCTGTTCAATATGTTCATAGTGAAGGATGGTGTGGGAATACTTACGGATAGGTGGACAGCGTGAAATCCATCTGGAGCCTCAGGAAATGAAGCTTTCTTTGGAGCTTCGATCCCCTTCCCGGCGGGCATGTTATGCATGCGGCCCTTAGTGATGTATAACTGGGATCACCCTTGCTGATCTAGTCTAGTTTGAATTTCTATTCGCTCTACCAAGAAGATGTCTTGTCTGTCAATGTTGGTTGAATTTTTCAGGCGAAACACCTCCCCCGTATAAGGAACCCGACGAGGCACATCCGGAGTTAAAGCAGAATTTCATTTCCAAGAATTTGAAATCGCTTGGGTTCACCAAGAAACAGGTGCGCCATTTGAAAACCCTCGACCAAAAAAGTTTGCCGTGTGCTAAAAAATGCTTCTACCCCAAAGACTTGCTTTTGCAGCAATGTTGTGCCATACGAGTAGATGAGATTGCTTAACAATTTTTATAAACACACAAAGGAATGCTTGTCATCCTCCATGCTTGGGGGTTCCGCAACAAATAATCCCTATTGTTATCTCGCAGTTGAAAATGTCTCAGAATATCTCTGAGTTCTTGTCTATAAGGCTATAATTACTTCTTCACTTGCATTCTCTTTACTGTCTTCAAACTCATTCAGGAGACTTCTACTTTCAAATCTCTTGAACTGTTGTGTTTTGCACCTACTAACAAATTCGGTTCATCCGGAATCTTTCACTTCATCTTCTCCTCTCAACTGTCGTTGGGTACAGTGCCTTAACTGTTTCTATAAGTTATATTTTCGTAGTCTTAGGGCCGCATGCACTAACCTCCCCGCTGGGGAGGGGATCGCAGCTTAAAAGAAAGCTTTATATTTCGGAACTCCAGATACCTGGTTTTCACGTTGTGTACCTATTCGTAAGTATTCCTACTACCCTTTACTATGAACATGTTGAAGAGGAGCGAGAAGCTGTACGAACCGCATTTTCCAGCTTTTGTATGATCCCTGATGAGCCCCGGCGCTTTTCTTTAAAGTCATTTTTATTTCTCCGAAGTTAACGAAAATCACCCAAAGTTGTACTGAACATCTAACACAACAGTGCCAAGCATGTTGCTGATGAGAACAAATGAGTTTTTGAAAAGTCGACGGTTCGTACAGCTTCTCGCTCCTCTTCAACATGTTCATAGTGAAGGGTAGTAGGAATACTTACGGATAGGTACACAAAGTAAAATCCAGGTATCTGGAGCTTCGAAATATAAAGCTTTCTTTTAAGCTGCGATCCCCTCCCCGCAGGGATATTAATGCATGCGGCCCTTAGAGTAAATTCTGTCCTTTGAGATTTTGAAAGTATCCTTCATTGCAGGGTGCGTAGCAAGTGGTACCCAGGCAGCCGACTGCTGCCGTATCCAGCCTCCAGAGCTGCCGGCAAAGGGGGGGGGGGCAGGCGTTATGGAGCAAAGCTACGCCGCATTCCCCTGCGGCATATCTTGAGGGGCATTTGCGTCGCGTCGCCTTTAATTGTAGCCGCAGGAGTAGCGCTGCCCCTGACAGCGGATCAAGCCATTCCCTAATACTACAACCTGATATGTTCAAATAAATAAATGAATCTTAGGGCCGCATGCACTGTCCTCCCCGCTGGGGAGGGGACCGCAGCTTAAAAGAAAGCTTTATATTTCGAAACTCCAGATACCAGGATTTCACATTGTGTACCTGCCCTTAAGTATTCCTACTACCCTTTGCTATGAACATGTTGAACAGGAGCGAGAAGCTGTACGAACCGCATTTTCCAGCTTTTGTATGATCCCTGATGATCCCCGGCGCTTTTCTTTAAAGTCATTTTTCTTTCTCCGAAGTTAACGGAAACCTTCCAAAGTTGTACTGAACATCTAACACAACAGTGCTAAGCATGTTGCTGATGAGAACAAATGAGTTTTTGAGAAGTCGAATTTTTCGGTAAACCTCAAATTTCGACCTGTGGATCATCGAAAATTTCATGACTTCAAAACATCATTTGTTCTTATCAGCAACCTGCTTAGCACTGTCGGGTTAGATAATACGCACAACTTTGGAGGTTTTTCGTTAACTTCGGAGAATGAAAAATGACTTTCAAGAAAAGCGCCGGGGATCATCAGGGATCATACTAAAGCTAGAAAATGCGGTTCCTACAACTTCTCACCCCTCTTCAACATGTTCATAGTGAAGGGCAGTAAGAATACTTGCGGATAGGTACACAACGTGAAATCCAGGTGTCTGGATTTTTGAAATTTAAAGCTTTCTTTTAAGCTGCGATCCCCTCCCCACGGGGATATTAGTGCATGCGGCCCTTAGGGATAAATCAAAGGCTGACTATGGGGTGATCCAATTGGATTTGGGTTAAAAGAGTTCAAGAGAAGTGGAACACGAGTATTAACAGAGAAAAAGAATAGAGATTTTCCGTCAATGACTTTCCAAGAAAAACTAACTTCCTTATCTTTTACTTTTTCTTGTCTTGCTTTGCTGACACTTCTTCCGCATATTCTATTTGATGAAAAAGTCTTGAAATGCGTTTATCATCCACATTTTGATCTTTTTATCTATGAGGAATAAGGAGAATGGCTCAATCCGCTGGGTAGCGCTAGCTCTTCTGCAACTGCAATTAGGAGCGACGCAACGCAAAGGGTCCTCAGGGGGTGTAGGGCGATTCGCACGACCGTAGTGCTTTCCATGCAGGACCACCGCCGCGCGCGAAACACCCTGCGGCGGCTTTTGCCTAAGCAAAACAGGGGGAGGAAAGATTTGCGGCGTGCATTACATGTTAAGACAAGTCAAAATCAGGGAGACACTGGATACCATCCGTGCGAAAAGACCGTCTCCCGTCCTCAGGATATACCGCAGGCGAATGCGGTGTATCTTTGCTACATAACGCCACGCCGCCCCGGCAAAGTCACTGCTGATGGTACAGTAATTACGCTCGTCGTCTAAAACTCCTGCCGAGAGGTATTCTCGCACCTCGCCGCTCTGAGGTGCGATATCAACCTCATGAAAACGTGATATCCTCGATATCTATTTGAACGCAAAAAATTCATTTTTTTGATAACATGCAAATAAGCAAAGGTAAACAGAGGAGAGTTTTTCTAAAGGGAAAATGATCACAAAATCAAACCACTTCAAAAACTCAAAGGAAACAGAAGCTAAAGAATTTAGGAATTCTTAAATTTCTAGAGATTTTTTTCTCGCTTTTACGTCGAACGTCGTTCTCTTTTTCTTTACGTCGTACACTTCTCCAGGGATTTTGAGAAAATAAAAAAATAGTGAAAAAATTCAACTCGTTGCAAAATAACAAAAACAAAAGTTCAAAATTGAAAGAACCACCTCTGGTAACCCTTCAACAAACAAATTTGATTTCTACAAATTCTTCATTGGAAAATTGAGGATTCTTTGAACTACAGCGTCAGTGGACATATATTGCACTTCAATTTCAAAATTTTTAACAGGAAAATACTGTTTGATTTCCTATTCACCCACTTTTGCAATAGTTTGTGATATATCCGGTGTAGTTTTCTACTCGACTGCATGGTTCTCAATGAAATATGGCATTGCTGTTCAAAATCATATAGATAATGAGGATATCACGCATTCCTGAGGCTGATATCGCACCTCATAGCGGCGAGGTGCGAGAAAACCTCTCGGCAGGAGTTTTTCACGACGAGCGTAATTATTGTACCATCTGCAGCAGCTTTGTCGGCAGCTCTGGCGGCTGGCTGCGGCAGCAGTCGGCTGCTCGGATACCACTTGCACGCCTACCTTCATTGCAGCATCAGGCCAGTAGATATCAGGAGCGCTACCTCATTGCTACTCCAGCGTACTGTATAATAGCTTTTGATAAGCTGCTGCATAAATGTTCTAAATAGATATAGTCGCGGTAACCTAAACATAGCACATCTAAACTGGCTTGAATTACACTTGCTTACAAATTCTATTGTACTGTCGACCTCGTGGCGCTCACAGGATCAGCTGGATGTTCTGGAGCGCAGCGGGAGCGCTGCTGTGAATAAGCGATCTTTCCGTCGAACCCATCGTGAAGATCACTCGGATTCTGCGGCTCTGCTCGACCTACCGAGAACGTCGTCCTCTCGTGGCAAAAAGAAGGCGCGTTCGGTGTTACGTTCAGAAATGAATTGATCGGGACCATATCGGTGGTGGAACTTTCAAGAGAAAAGTTTGAAATACATCGGCATACTGTCACCGATGTGAACCGCATCAATTCTTTTCTGCACCTGCTTGTGAATGATCAGGGCACTGGGAGGTCCACACAGTACTTTCTGTTGGAATCTTCACCCACTAACATACTGAGATATTGTCCATTGAGTTCTGCTAGGTTGAGCATGATTTATTTTTTTGCCAGAGGTTTAGTCTGTGATAGTGATCAGAGCGCATAATAACTCTCTCAAGTTTTCACATATCAAAGCAGCTCTAGAGAGTTGGTATCTATCTGAAAATGGAACACCCATGATCAGTCCTGAAAGGTATTTTGTTCGAGTTTGGATATGATCCTGTCAGGAATGTTTTCAGGCATCTGCACGCTTATGAGGAAATTACAGCTTTAGTTTTGAGCATTTTTGATGTTTTGATTTTTTATATTAACTCCATTTTGGATTGCATTCAAGAGAAGCACTCTATCCACGCGATCAAATGTTGTAACCTATGGACAATATCTCATTATTTGCACACACTAATATCCTATCACTTTCTTCTCACTCTGCACTGCATGTCATAACGCATCCGCTCTTCATTACACACACGCGGCTTTATTTGACTTCATCATAGAATTTCTGTTATGGCTGCTACTCGCATGTTCTAGCTTTGAGAAGCTTATGGCAATTACATTCTTGAATTTTTTAACGCTTGGAATGTGCTCCCTTGGGTGCCCTCGGTAGTTATCCTTTCTTTTGGCTCATTAACCGCCTGTCGTAGATTTGTGGCAAGCTTTCTTTTACAGAGAGCATCAACCACTTATGGATGCCTTTTATCAACAAATCATTTTCAGCCGATTTTGACAAAGGAGGAAGAAGAGCGCATATTTATGGAGTATCACTACACCGGAGCAACAACGAATATCCATCCACTGCTATCCTCGCTCATTAACTACACCCATCCAGTCAAATTTAGCGGGTTTGATGTTGCCGAAGGTAAGATTACCTTTCGCACATTTTTATTCTTTGAAGTCATTTATGACTTGTGGAAGTTCTTGCCTATACTGTAGAGACATGAATGTGAAATACCGATGACACTCAGCACAATCCTCAATCCTTTTAGCGGTTTTGCGCCATCACCGTATGCTACCGAAGTTATTGTAATGGGGTAAAATCGTTCTTCATAGTATACGTGGCTAATTTTATGACTTTCGCGGTGCAAAAACTCATGTTGTCTGCGACCGATATAAAATTCATTTATTGAACGTTTTGCAGCCAACAATATGCACTACCATATGTCATCGTTTGCTGAAAGTACCGGTCTTGGGCATTTGAAGCAGAACGCTCCCGAGTTTGTCAACTACAACAAGCGGCAGCTTAGCAGGATATACCCAAAGGGCGCAAGGATGGATTCGAGTAACTTCTTGCCACAGGCTAGTCGATAACGGTACAAACGTGTTGTGTCTGAGCAACGATTGAAATCCAGATTTTCTGGAATGCCGGTTGTCAAATGGTGGCATTGAACTTTCAAACTCCTGATGTATCAATGCAGCTGAATATGGGAAAGTTCGAGTACAATGGAGGTTGCGGGTAAGCACCAGTAGTTTTTGATGCATGACTAAGCTAGTTTTATTTTTTGCTTTAGGTTCTTGTTGAAGCCAGATTTTATGCGTCGTCCCGACCGAACATTCGATCCATTTTCAGAGTCACCGGTGGATGGTGTGATAGCAGCTCATTGTAGCGTGCGGGTGAGCTTTCAATGTTCTAGTTATTCATAAGAAGCCAATCAGTATTGTTACCTGCAAATTCTTTGATTAGTTATGCAATTTTTGTGTCTGTTGTTTCTAACAGCCAGTTTTTCAGGTAATCTCGGGACAGTTCCTCACCGACAGAAAGATTGGTACATATGTGGAAGTAGAGATGTACGGCCTCCCGACCGATACCGTTAGAAAAGAGCACAGGACAAGGACTATTCCTGCTAACGGCTTGAATCCTGTTTATGCTGAAGCTCCATTTGTATTTAGAAAGGTCATCGCGTCCGCCAAATTGACCAGCTCTCCATAGGTGCCCTTTCTTTCCCGTCGCCATCTATTAATGTTCAGGTAGTGCTTCCGGAACTGGCAGTTTTGAGATTTGCCGTATATGATGAGAATGGTAAACAACTCGGACAACGCATTCTTCCACTAGATGGTTTGCAGGCTGGTTATCGTCACATATCACTCAGATCCGATACAAATCAAGTAAGTTCAAGTCTCTTCGCACGATAATGTGTGCTTATTGTTGAACTTTAGACTATGGTGCTCTCGCCCACTCTATTTGTACACATTGTTATCAAGACGTATGTTCCTGATGAACTTAGTGGTACGTTGTCCTATGTTTTTCCGACTTCCAGGAGATTATGAAGGTAATTTTAGGCCTTGTGGATGCACTTGCTGATCCAAGAGCTTATCTCTCGGAGCAAAGGAAGCGGGAAGAAGCTCTGGCTCATATGGGAGTGGACGACAGTGATATCGTCGAGGTAAACTTAATCTTACCCTTTTTCCTCTAGCTGATCTTTATGCGATGACCATATTTACACGTTTCAATTTAGATCCCTGCGAAGAATAGTGCCGCGAAGAACAAAGTGTTGCAGAAAACAAACGGATCCGCTGCTAATTTGCTCAATGAGTAAGACAGCCCTCTTATCTTACTTATTGTTAGTTGCCCTCGCTACATTTGCTAACATCACTTTTTACAGTAGAGAGAATCCTCCATCATCAGCGCGGTCTGATGGCAACGCGGTTGCAACTTCGAAGGTAAACAACGAGGCACCTCCTGTTGATAAATTCAAGGTAAATTTGTTACGTTTGTCTAAAAAAATTTCTTTTCCTCCCAACTTGTCAAAAGCATAACACTAATGCCCAGACTGGGTTGTCGTGGAAGCGTTCCATATTGCGAACACGTTCTGGCGGGAAAAACGTACATCTTTCTGCCCCTCCGGATACTCGTGGTATCAGCACTGACCCATCTCAGTATATGTCTCAGAGAAGAGCGTCCATGAGAAAAATGGACGAAAAGCTGCAGGTTTACCTCTGCTGCACGAAACCTCGCCATCACAAATAATCTTTACGTCATGTTTGCCCTCGAGTTTTTAGTAAAAGCCATCTGTCCCTAACGTGAATGAGATTATTTTGCATTTTTTGCGAGTAGAATATATTGCATGTCCCCATCCACTTTTTTCCGGAGTTTTATTGTATAGTTCCAACGTCCCTTCCCAAATAACCTAGTTTATTGCATCATTGAGCAGTTTATAGGTTGAGCCGATCGAAGTGGACGACTTGAAGAAGGACAAGGCGTTTATCAAACTCCTCAAGAAGTTCCAGAAGGAAAGCGATGACCTAAAAAAGAAACATCAGAAGCAGCGCGACAGCATTCAGAAGCAGCAGGTTATTACTTGAACTTGCCTTTCTTTGTTAATAATCATTTCGACGTCATAGCGAATGTTGGTGCAGCCATGTCCCTCATTCAATTTTTTCATGTAGTTACTGTTCTTTCGCATTATGCATTAGATCGCCAGGTAGTGATAATGCTTACAGCCATGCAGACGAGCATCCATCGCTTGGATTGTAAGTTTTTACGTGCTAAGGTTCCGCTTCTAATTTCTTCCTCTTGGCTTCAGTGAGACTTACCGTAATGCGGTTGGTTTGAGACTAACCGCGCATTTGTTTTTGGAGAACATCCAGCCATCATGTTACCTGTCGTACTAGAAGCGTCTTCTTAGATCACATAACAGTGCCTTAAGTTGTTGTGCGAGCTTACTGTATCGAGCTGTGACTACTCAACTATCTCTTGATTCAAAAAAGTCTAACATCCAGTCGACTCGAGTGTTGGAGTTTGTGAACAGATTTACTAGGAATCTTAATTGTTTGTGGCTTCAACCGGCTACAGCGGCAAAATTCCTTTGCAGCAAACAAACGTGGACAAGTTGATAACAAACAACCGTCGATCCACGAGAAAGGAGAAAGGAGGCAGGCGACTGGCAAGCGAGAATCTTGATTCGGCCAGTGCTAGCAGCATGGCGAACAGTGATCGAGTAGGGCATAGATTTTGGATAATCTTGAATTGAATTTATTGTTGCTTGACATAGGTACGCTCACTTGTTAATGTACAAACAGACGAATGGTCTGCAATGATGCGACGACATGAGGCGGAAGAGTTCGAGTTGCGGAAATCTCAACTACGTGAGGAAACCGAAATGCTCAGGTGTGTGCTACACATATTAGCTTTTTTTCTTACATATATTTCTTTCTCGTTAGACATTTGCCTTTTTTCAATAGCTCTGATTTTTCCTTTTTGTTCTGATTTCAAACAGCTCAGTCGCTTCCATTCACAGTTTAAGTTCTTCTTTCCAGAAAACTTCTGCTTGAGGCGCAGAAGGTGCAAATGCAGGGTCTGAAGCTGCGGCTGGAAACTGAGTCAAAAGAGCTGAAGCAGACGCAAACAAAGAAGAGTATGGAAGACGCTAAAGTTTTGAACCTCGTAAGTCCATTTTGTTTTTGCTTTTACGTAAATGCTGCAAGAACGGTTTATAGGACAAGGGAATCAAGACAAAAGCGGAACGAGAACGTCGGTTGAAAGAGTTGCACGAGAAGAACCTGAAGATGTTTGTGGAAGAACGGAAACGACTGGCAAAGAAGTAATATTCTGAAGTTTTATGTGGTAGTGTTATGATACTGATCAAATCTATCACAGAGGAGAAAAGCACGAGGAACAGCTTGCAAAACGTCATCAGGACCAACTCGAGCAGCTGGAACGAGAAGGTGCTAAGGCTTTGGAGCAGGAAGAAGCAAATTTCAGAGAAGATCAGCTGTCCTCCAAGCCAGCCTCTTTGGTCTGACAAGGTAAATTTGCGACTGGAGTTTTCAACTTTTTCTATACTTCAGCATTTTTCGTCTGTTTAGAAGTTCCTATATCAAGTGCACATTGTCTGTGATTCTCGAAGATCGGCATCAAATGCTCACTGTCGTATGGTCTCTCCTTGTTTGTGTCGGTTTATCATGTAGTTTTTATCATCGCCTACTTATCTCGGAACAGTCACATCATTGTCGCAACTATTGCATTTTTCTCCTAGGTAAGCATGTTGCAAATGCAATGATTGCGGTTTATCTAGATCGTTTCGCTTGTTGATTCGTTGTGATATGTGTAGCTACAGATGACTAAGGCTGGTACACTGCATAGCCATTCAGACACTTCTTGTGTCTGTTTTTCTTTCTTTTTTCCTCTCATTTTCCTCTTTCCTGTACGTTGGTGTGTACGTTTATCATCTCCTACACTGCTTCAAGCGCTCGTGATTAGCCAAATTTTGCCCTATCCGGTATACGTTCCTGTGACAATGTTTTGTTCTCTCAATGTTGATTCCATCATTTTCTTTTTTTTATTGATATTCCTTGACGGGATCTTCACTTCTCCAGTCTCCAATCATCCCAGCCATCATTCCATAATTTAGGTGATTATTAAGCTACTTAATAGCGTTGCTGTTTCTCATCGTAACAGTATTCAATTTTTTGATCGTGTTCATTATGATTGATGAGATTGTTCATAGAATTCTATGAACGCTATTGAAACGGTTAAATATCTATAAATCACTATGTATTTTATGACCATTCGCAGAGATATGTATCTAGCTCCAAGCACAATCTCGGAACTGAAGTTTTTGTGAACAACTGGCTGGACAGATTTTTTTGAGGTGAAAGAAGTTGTAATAAGCAGTCTATTGTTTGCAGGCATATCTCATGAGGATGAGGTGCTCAGCCTAAGAGAATTACCTCATATTGTAACATGATCCTTGGTCCCAAAAGGACTACTCCTGCTCTCAAACTGGTATGGTCCACTTTCGTACTGCTCTCATAGACAGAACAATCATTTTAAAACTATTCGCGCAAGCTTCATAGAAATACATCTAAATGTGGGTGGTAAGCGGTATATTTATCAGTTCGTTGCATACCGCAACTCAATGCACAACTTTGCATTGTTGACTAGAAACAAATAAAACAGCTGTGACGTAGAACTCACCAACTGCAAGAAGCTAATTCTTGCCACTATTAGAATTGATAAATTCAGTTGTGGAATTTCATCAGTTGAAATATGAAAAGATGAACTAGAATTTTTTTGAAATGCTATATCAAACCTAGATTACGTAGTTTGAAATATTAGGTTGTCCCGAAAGTTTTGTCAGTTTATTTCATCGCGCACTGAAACCCAAAGAACACCAGTTCATGGACGATCTAGGTATCATTTGACTCAAATTTTTATACTCTTTCTTAGTGCTATATTTGCTCTCTTATCTACCCTGTCTTTGCAATATTATCGCCATGGCTTTTTAAGCAGTTCAACACTAACGCCAAATCTTTCCTGAATTTTGAAAATACTGATGTTTCCGAAGAGCGCTAGTAACTGTTCCGCAGAGCAAATCTTTGGCTACATTGTATTTACTCTAGATTACATGGGTCACGTTTATCAAGTCCGTTATAATTATTTATCTAGGAAAAACCGCGGCTTGATTACGTTTACCACGTAAATTTACCGAAAGTTCCAAAAAGCTGATTTTTCAAAGCAAATTAAACTTGTTTATGTTGCATAGTTATTGTTTATTAGCAATCAAGTCTCAATTAAATTTCAAGAGCAGCTTTCATGTTTTTGCTGCAGTTGCGTGTTTCATGACTTTGCCAAAAATCGAGACCTCCAAATTATTTTTTGAAGCTAAAAACAACATTTTAGGAAAAAATATCGCCTTGTATTCCGAGAATTGTTCTATTTGTGCCCTACTTAACCCCCTTCGGAACATTGGAATGAAATTTTTAAAAATTAGCCTAACTTTGGGCAGATAAAAATGACGGGTGAAGAATTGTAACAAATATCAAAAAAAAGTATACAGGATTGTCGCTAGGAAATGTAACCATAAGAAAGAGAAGGAAAAGCTGCATCGAATGCATGTTAAAGCTCGTTCAGATCTTCATTGTGCATACTTTTATAGCTGTTTGAAAAAACTGACAAAACTTTCTGGACAACCTAATATACAGGGTGTCCCAAAAAAATGTATCGAACGTTTGATCGTTAATATCTCTCTTCCCAAGAAGTCTTTCGCCTTGCTTCAAGTACCATTTTGTAGAGCTGGCTTCAACTTAGATTTGCATTATAGAGTGGATCACCCATCTCTCTTAATTACTGTAGGATTACGGTAGAAACTTGAAACATATGGTGTCAATGTGGAAAAAGCTGCCGTTTCAAAATTATTCAAAAAAATGTGAAAACTTCTGTGATAGGGTTTTTATGGACGCTGAGTTTAATACTCAACTATTCACAAGATTGCGAAGCTTTCTGAACGGTGTAACCGCACTTTTTAGGAACATTGAAAAAATGGCCGCAACCTCTTACCTGGCATAACTCTTCAATGAAGCATCATAATAAATTGGGAGCTTTACAGTTATAATCAGCAACTCAAATTAGCCTAGTGTAAAAGTTTTGAGGCTGTTTTGTTTCCTTTCCGAGGCAAAGCATGGGCTTTCATTGCTTAAAACCCTCTTTGAAGTTTCTACCGTAATCCTACAGTAATGAAGAGAGATGGGTGATTCGCTCCATACTGTAAATCTAAGTTGAAGCCAGCTCTACAAAATGGTACTTGAAGCAAGGCAAAAGACTTCTTGGGAAGAGAGATATTAACGATCAAACGTTCGATACATTTTTTTGGGACACCCTGTATACGAGAGATGAAGCAGTTGAAGAATTCTTGAAGCAGTTGAAGAATTCTTGTATGCAGCGTTTACTCAGAAGCACTTCAGGTTACTACTTATTATATGAGCAGGTTTCAGAAGTAGATTAGATGCTGTCCGGTCCCTTAATGTTGTATACAGAGGAGAAAATGGATGGGACCTGCAGCTTTTTGCGCCCCTCCCCTTTTTTTCGTTACCCATCCGTGCATTGCCCCGTGACACATTGTTCCGACACGGCGAGCAACTCGAGACGCATATAGTGTGATTTCTGTTGCCTCCGACAAGGTTTCTTGTTGCAGACGACGGAGCTAGTGTTGGCTCGTCTACCTCTTCAAAGTAGGCTGCAGAAAGGGGATTTCTGGGGTTTTCCCGTGATTTGCATCTCATATAGATCAGGACCATGGAAAGGCCCGATAACAATAAAAACAGAGTTGTTGAAATTTCGGGTAGATGTCTTCAACACTTACGAATAACGCAAAGAATGTCGGGGGTACCGTAATTTGTCTTTCTTTCACAATAGGGCAAAAGTTTGCCCTCAAAGTATTCATGTAAAAATTTTTTTACATTCCCTAAAGACTAGCTTTGGCTGACATTCGACCGTCATTTTTAGTGGGGGGCAGCCAACATGAACGAGTGTGCCAGCCTTTTCAAAATTCAATATTTACGCTGTGATGACATCTCGAAGCTTGGAAAAAACGTTGGAAGCTCTGTATGTCCTGATTCTTACTGTTCGACACCATTTTCAATCTAGTTTGGAACATACAGCTTCAAAAAGTAAGACTTTATGTGCGACATATTGACAAACCTAGAAGTACAGTATGCTTATTGCCAGTTCATCTTCGCATACACCCTTTTTGGTCGGTACTTCTCTACCCTCAACTTTTGATTGATAGTTTTGCCAATCTCGAAAATGTTGCGAATTCCAACTCGTAGTGCTTCTTTTGTTGTTGTACAAGTAGTAATCAACGATTTTTTTTCGGAAAACAAGTTCAGCAATATCATGGAATCGTCCCGCTTTGGAATCCAAGGATTTCAAGTTTTCCAATACCCTGGATTTTTGGCTTCACGTATCTAAGTTAGAAAGACGATAACTTTACCTAGATAATCCCGTACCAGCCTGTTGAAGCGAAAGAATTTGATTTATTACGCCTGTACTTGGCGAGTGAATTAAGGAAGAGGCGAGGTATGACAAACGATTCTCAGAGCAGCTGCTCCATTAAAATAACACTCTCAGTTGTTTTCAGATAATCGCAAGCTAGTCCTTTTTCCTATAGTTTTCACGCACCTATGTTCAATTCCACAACGTAAAGTTACATAATTGCTCTCTTTCTATGTTTAGACGAACATATCTGAGAATGAGACAAGTTTAATATCAAATTAAAAGATTTATACATATATGAAGTCTGGTTACTTACGTTCTCCGTCTAAATATCCATTCTGAGGCAACTGCTATTTCCGCAGCGAAAGCCAGCTGGACAGCAGAAATCGCTTAAAGGGCAACAGTTGGCTGCTGTGAATGGGCAACATCCTGGAATTTTATCTTTGAGTAGCAGATATCCAAGAAATACGCCTGTAAATAGTACCATACTGTCCGCTGGCGGATGGGCAACATGTTTGATAGTTCTCACATTGTATCGTTCCTTTTTCGTCACACAAATTGGGCTCAGCAGCGTTTGCTGGGGTAGACATAGTCTTAACTAAACACATATCTACAAGTACGGTAAGAACACCCAAGATTTTTTGCAAAGTGCTTACATAGTGCAAATGAGAACAGTAGCGAAAGCAGCATGAGTGACGCGATTTCATCTTGCTTATCGCTCCGACAAATGTCTTGCACAGGCCATAAACTAGTCTCTTTTACCTAACTAAACAACTTATGCACAATCTCGAATTTTTTGATGATGCTTGTGGTATCTGATAGCTGCGCACTCCGGCCACTTTTGCTGCTGTTCGGTAACGTGCTTCATGATGATTGACTCGTGCGCGGTAAAGTTTAATCTCAAACGAAAATCAACAGGATTTCTATAAACTAAATTCTTCTTTAATTGCCAACTTCGTAGGTTGTGCAGGCTATGTAAAAAACTCTACGTATCAAAAAAATATTTAATGCAATATAGTACAAAATCCTACAATACTTTACTTCGTATACAAGTAGAGGAGATGGGGAGTGGGCATATAGGCTAATTCAACGCTTCAGGTTTATCTGAGATTTGGCTCAGGCTTCTTTTGTATAGGATTTCCTCCCCCCCCCCCCTCCACTCTCTCTTTCCTTTTCCGAAACTCTGACCTTGTCATTAGATTGGCCCATGCTTGGACAAAAATTTTTCAGTAATTTTTTTTTAGTTCCAAAGGTTTTGTTTGATTCAATAAAACACAAACTGGAAAGAGATAGCCATGGCTTTTTAAACGTGCTTTGAGCAAAAGTAGTAACAAGCTATTGAACAAAAACAGTCAAATATGTTTTTGAAATTTGGGTCTTCTATTATGCTAAAAAGACCACCGAATTTTGATTCTGATTCTAACTTTTGTAATGATTTGCGCTTTCCAACTTAAAGAAACTCGTGCTAACCGACTGATCTACGAGTAGTTCCAATATTTCAACTTTTCGTAGATTTTCCTTCGTGCTTTCAAAATCTCGATTCCTAGTAAAATTGGACAGTTGTTTCGTCTTTGAGAATATGTTTTAATTTTTGGTACGGGACTTACGGCCAATCTTACGATTTATCTGACACTTTGTGATTGTCTAATACCAATTTCCGAGATCCCTAGCTCATCTAATTCTCTCACAGGTCTCTTGTTGTTAGAAGGAAAATGCTGTGTCCAGGGGTGAAACCACTAGAACCAATAAGTTTGTATCTATGCCTATTTCTATCAGAAGAAGCTAAACAGCATGTTTTCGATTTTTCATTACATTACTCGAGTATATGCATTTCGAATATTTGCATTTCTTTACTGTTGTGATTGATACATTTATATCTGAAGCCCCTTTGAAGGAAGTTTATTCAGATTTTATCTGATTGTTGCGCAAAGAAGAAGATGATACACATGCAGTAAACATCTGAGACAAAGCACCATATCAAAGCAAATAGATAAAGAGTGTACAATAATATTATATTATTGTTGTCATATCATATTGGAAGTCGAACCATAACAGCATGAAAGAAAACAAAATAAAGAATGTGATGACGTAAGAGCAGTAGGCAAGCAATGACATTCCACCGGTTCCGGAGCAGAATGTGGCGAGACCGGCCATGAAAATGAATGTCGTCCAACCAGCTATCCATTTCATGCTGATGTAACGGAAATATTCATCCTGGAAAATACAGAATGGCTAGGCAGTCGATTTTTATTACACTACTCTGAAAACCCACAGATAAGTCCGCTTTTTTGACGAGAAAAATCAATGAAAATGCACCCTCGCGCCGCCAAGAATCTTGAAAATAAATCCTCCCATCAAATAAGTCCGTCTATAGACAAGTACGGACAAATCTGATAGTCTTTGGACTTATCTGACCAGATTTCAGGGTAGTTATAATGGAAAGAAAACGGACTTATTTGTAGGCGGACTTATCTGAAGGGCTTTAACTGACAAGGGAACCGTGTCGAGTCGAAGTGGCCTTTCCAGATGAGACCCATACTGCTTTGAAGAGCATTAATCGGTGAGTCCAAATCTGCTTTCCAAATCTGCCAAGCGCCTCTGGACGCCGAGTTATGCTCGTTTTTTAGGTCAAAAAATTGAACACAAAACTGAAGCAAAATCGCCCAAATTTGCTCAAATGGTCCAGTGTCAGGTATCAGAGCTGTTTATGCAATGGATACATTTTATTTATTATACTAATACTTAACATTGCTTTATCTGAGCGCTGGAAAGATTTTAATAATCCATTTTACCTAAATTCTGCATGCATTTTTCGTTCCGAAGAACGGTCATAACTCGGCGTCCAGAGGCGCTTGGCAGATTTGGAAGGCAGATTTGGAATCACCGCTTAACACTCTTCAAAGCAGTATGGGTCTCATCTGGAAAGGCCACTTCGACTCGACACGGTTCCCTTGTGAGTCAAAAAAGCGGACCTATCTGAAGGCGGACTTATTTGTAGACGGACTTATCTGTCGGGGGGACTCTGGAGATTTTAGGATAGTAAGTTTTGAAATTGCAAGATTGTAATTATTGTCGCAATTCATTTTTTTGTCAAAATGATTTCGAACGCAGAATCATTCCAGTCGTTTCCTTATCTCATCTTTTCTGTGAATTTTCTATCTTCGTTTGAAGTAGCATATGAGAAACATTCATTTGTTTCCACTATGAAACGGGCTGCCGTTTCACTTCCCCCACATCTGTGCTCCTTTATGAAGTGACAAGCGATGTAAGACTTGATCTTTCATTACCACTTATGAGCAAAGGTAGTTTCGATTTTCTTGTTTATACCACTGAGCTAGTTAAAGGATTTAAGACCAAAAATGCTTTCCACTGAAAATGGGTCAACTGCATGTAAACGAGAAGTTGCACGAATCACGTGTTAATGCTTTTCTGCAATAACAAAAGTTTCATATCTAGGAGTAATGAGGAATACAGATACCAATATTATCGTATGGAATATATCTGGTATTGTTGCCCTGTTATGCGATGTGCAAAATACGAGTGACCAGTTTTCCAGCTATTACAATATGTCATTTCTAGTTGCTAGCGATGGGAATAAAAAAAAACTGCGAAGAGTGAGGAAATAGAGAGAGTAAATATACATCAAGCAGAGGAGGGCGTAATTTCTCGGAGACAACAGTAGTTATAAAGGGTCCTGACGTCAAAGATCCTTCATAACTACTACTCTAACTATTACGTTAGATTTCAGGAAAGGTTGTAATCCAGTGTGGGCTTGGAACCTCAATATGTGAAGACCTTGTTGAAGATTTGCAATGAATAACTGAACTGAATGAAAAAGGAAATTTGTGGAACTTAATTGGATGTGGAAGGAATTTGGGTACTTAAGAGCTGCGCCTTTAAAAGCATTTAGTGGTCATTTATGAAAATTTCTATTCTTTTAGTAAATTAAGAATTGGCCCTGAATACACTCCGCTATGCACGGTTCTCCTCAAGAGGCGAATGCAAAAAATGGCATGTAATGGCAGTAAAGGCCCTTTACTCCCAAAACCTAAATCCGTCGGTGTGATGCAATCGCCCTGACGTATAATTGAAAATACAATCAACGTACGATAGTTCCTCGTCGTTTATGACGTCGCATTCGACATTCACGCGCTTTGAGCGGCTTTTTCACACGGTACGGTACAGTGCGAATTGCCTCCTCAGCCCCGTCCCACTTATGCGGCCCCTGCAGACGATAGACGTAAGGCACGTTCGCACCGAGAAAAAGTCGCAATGCAAAACGGGGGTCCGACCACATGATCTGGAACGGTACAATAAGCTAAAAATAAGTCTAAAATCCGGTGACATTGGCCTCCGATAAGTAAACATTAATTTTGAACCGACCTTGAGAATGTCGGGTTTGCAGCCCACAATTTCAGCGATCTCGTCCATGTACTTGATGTAATCGACCTGAAAGTAGAGAGAGTAGAGTTCGTCAAAAGGACGACAACTTCTTTTACCTGTATTGTGTGTTTTTCGCTTTGGAAATATCTTCTTTTCATTAGTGCTCGCTTTAGCGCTATGTCTTCCAGCATCACTTTCTTGGAGGGTAACGAAATATTTCCCAGAAATACTTGGATCGCCCAGCGACTCTAAAATAGTATATTTTGCACCATCTCACGATTTATTTAACACTACTTTCAACCACTTATTTAGTCCATCAGACATACATTCATTCATTCGTTCGATCATTCAGTTTTTGACTCGTTTAATCAATTACTCAACTTTTTACTGATTTTTTATTGTTTATTTTCTTATCCATTCACACACTATGAAATCTAATCATTCCTTTCCAATCACATTTCAACATTATTTATTGCTGTTTATTTTAATTATATTTATTTGTCCACCATCTCTTTCGAATTCTTTCACTCTCATCGATTCCTTCTTATAGCGTAACTACTTTCTTTTCTTATCAATCATCCTTTTTCTTTTCTCTATTATTATCGTTCATCATCCTCCCTCGTATTCATAAACGCGAACATTCGCTTATACTAATGCATCTCTTGAATTTCTCCTTCTCTTACTACTTTTTTCTTTCCTTTCTTTCATTTGTTTTACTATATTTTATTCATCCAATCAGTCATTCATTTCTTCATTTCGTGCTTCCAGTATACAATTTATTCACACTTTATCTGTCAATACTGACCTAAGATCTTATCATTTGTTTCCATTAACAAACTCATCTTCATCCACTAATTCGAGAACACGATTCCTCTGCTATCTAATTTTACAATATTCGCAGTTTGTTTTTTTGTTGTTGATAAAAGTGGCCTAGTACCTGCAGCTCAGATATGGGAACAATGCTTCCAATCGGCTGTATCATTCCAATCACTGCCAAATTGTCGTGATCTGGTTGGAAGACGAACTTGTAGAGTGGCACTTCGTGATGCTGTACGAGAGACTGGAGGGAAGCACACTCTGCCGAGCTCTTCCGACTAACCTCGATGCTGATAAGTTTCTTATCCAGATATGGAAATCCGAACGTGTATCCGGTGCATGAAATGAAGACGTCGCAATCGTAGCTTTTGCCATTTTTCACAATCACTTTGTCTGCGGTGAACGTGTCCACATCGTCCTAAAAGTGATTCTACAATTACTACTGAATTTGGTAGTATCCGTTCTACTCCTTAATCTCCTATCACGAAATTCTAGTTCTTCGACCGAATAAGCAACTATAATTCTGAAATGTATAAAGACGCGTGGAGTTATTTGTCCTGTTTTTGCTCTTCAGAGTAAGAAAATGATTGTAAAGTTACTATATTACTATATTTTACTTCAGATCCTTCTACGTCTTCAATACTTTGTTAAAATATTTGAGACCCATTAAACCTACCGCGATTGTGATGAAACCGGTACAAATAAGATGGCATAGAGAATCGTTGACTGTTGGATGCTGCTGGAAGAACCTGAGCGATAAAAGTTTGGTTAAAGTATTTGCAAATGTGGAAAACTTCTGACAATTACGAACGAGGATTGATGAAAGAACAAAAAACATAACTTGATTGTATTATTATGACTACATTGTTTTTACCTGTGGTTCGGTCTCAAACCATATGTATCGTGATCCATTCTTTGTTGTACAAGGTGTTCCATGTAGTCATTGGCTATCGTCCAAGGAATGGTATCCATCAACCAGTCGTAGAACCTTTAACAAAATCTTAGCAAACATCTTCAAGAGATTCAAAGTACCTCGTCATGTAGATTGTGTCATAAGGCATGCCACAGGCTGCTACTTTGTTGAAAATCCATGTGCCTCGCCTTGTCGAAACTGTTACCTGAATGGTTGAAATTTTCTTTTGTTGTATTTTATTTTGTTCTGCCAAAAAAGTCTTCGTCACTCACTGATTTAGCAACCTTCGCCAAGTCTACAGCGATATCCAGAGCAGAGTTTCCGATTCCTAAGAGAAAGACGTTTTTTCCTTCGAATCCTTTCGTGTCGCGGAAGTCGTACGCGTGCATGATCTTTCCTTTGAACTTATCGACGTCTGCAAATTTTGAGTTAGAGTTTGTTAATATTTATATCGGACCAGTCAAGTGAGTGGTAAGTGAAATGTTGACAATTTTGTCAAGTGAAGTAAGCTTTGAAAATTACAAATTTTCTTATTTAGACTTTGTTAACGTTCTCCGCGCACGCTCATAATAAAGTAGATTTGATGAGAATTTGACTCGAGAGTTTGAAAAATAAAATTCAAAAGTAGTTAAAGGGCTAATCAAGAGACTAGAGATCGAAGGCTTAGAGATGCCTTTGAATTATGAATCGTATTTGCAGGTAGTGTTCAGATTGCAAAAGTAATATTTGCCACAGTTTGTGGAGACGAAGCTATTCCGCCTTTAAACGGATGCCAGGAAAGCTTTCGAAATTGGAATCCATTTAGTTAGTGGGCTACCACTGTATCTTGAATCTTTATAAGACTTTTGCAAACTACAGGAGACGCTATACAAATGTTTGCACTGCTTACAAGGGGAGAATAAGTTAATGGAGATGGAACGGATTTTTCAAAATTATTCTCAAAAAATGAACATTACAAAACACCTCTCAGCTGCGGATATTTGGGTTCAGCATGATGTCCAGTGCACAACATAACTTTATCAAAGTGCTCTACTGTTCCGTTCTCCAGCTCAACTCTGTACCCATCATCCTCAGTAGTAATCTGAAGAAAAGTTTTGTTACGACGATTCCTACACTAGGCTGAATACTCCAGCTCACATATTTCACGGCGGTGTTGAAATGAATGTGCTTGACTAGGTCGAATTTTTCAGCGTACATGTGTAGATATTCGGATACCTTGAAATATAATGATCAGTAAGCGGATTCTTGTTACTGTATGAATCTACCTTAGAATGATGCATAAAGTTGGGATAGTCCTCAGGGGGTGGAAAATCAGAATATGACATCATTTCCTTGGACGTGTTGACGACTGTGGACGCCATCACGGTTCCGCCAATCTGAAAAGCATGGCATCGAATTCAAAGTCTTTCCAAATACAGTGTGAACTAACATTCTTCTGTCCAGACCGATAATTCCATAAACCACCCAAATCCGCTGTTTTCTCATAGCAGATGACATCGATGTTCTCTTCAAGACAAGACTTGATAGCTGGTAGGCCTGACACACCAGCCCCTACCACACAAACTCTCATTCCAAAAAGTTTGCAGCTCAGTTACAGTGTTCTATAAGTGGATCAACAGTTTGTTTTCAAGATAGTCTGTCGCACCTTCCAACAACAAGCTAGGAAACTAAAAACAAAAGACTGTAGATGACAGAAACAGAACCATGGAGTCTACAAGCGCGAGAATTGTTCGCAAAAATCGAGAGTGCAATATCAGAATGAGTTTTTACTTTACTTAGATTGCACTATAGCTATTTGTGCAGAAGTGGTATTGTGAAGAAAACATAATTGTAAAAGATGGGTAAATCGACTATAATGACATGGTAATCGAGCGAGTAAAGGCATAGAACATAGAACATGGTCATGGTTGCGTGGCCTTGGTAATAGCGCATTGTAACTGGTTGTTGAAGCAGAAATGATTCGGAATCACGTCAGCAGGAAAGAACGCTCTTATAGCTCATCATCACTGTGTATGAATTTTGAAGTTATCGTTACAGAAAAGTGGGTATTGACACCCACTCTCTTTAAAAAGGGTGACGAACAAGAGAAATGGCAGCTAGTGGGTGTCAATGATCCGCGCATCTTTCACTCTCATTTCTGTCTATTTCCACGCAGAAGAATCATTTTCTTATATCTTTCAACTGGACGAGAGCAGAGCTCGGCACAGGTGGCTTATAAGCAAGGTGGATATCGTTTTTGGGTTAAAAAGCAAAGAGGATCGTTTTTGTGGGTTCGATGAGGTTCTTTTTAGTCAACATTTCGTTTTTAGTTGATTTGGATATTCCGAGTAAGGGTCAAAGGGGAAATCGTAAAATTTCGCAAAAATCGGGGGGGGGGGCGGACTTCGTTTTTTGCATTTGCGAAAAGCCACATCGTGCCGAGCCCTGAATGCGAGAGTGTTATTCTGTGAGCCGTGAAAATACGTTGAAGTTATCAAAAAAGAAGATTTCACGTTATTGGTTGAACTTAACTCAATAAAAAAAATCTTGAGCCAGTCATAAGGCAATTCGCTAATGCCATTCAAGAATGAATTTCAATGAGTCTGAAATTCGCACTTTGTAAGGCAAATAGTGTACCGACATGCAGCACTGCTATCGTTTTTCTTGAGCCATACCTCCTTGAAAACAGAAAAAGGCGCAAAGAATCGTTTCACATGCGCAATATTTACACTTTGTTTTTTCACCTGAAGGCAGCGTTCGGGTAAATTTGGGTGAACTCTTGATTGGGAAAACTCATAAGTGAGCCACTGCTCTAACGGCTGCTCATACATATGTTTGACTGTTGGCCAGAACATTTGACCTTGAACTTTCGCATAGACCGTACTTGTAGATTTCTGCATAGAATGGCCACATAAGCCCGGGTTTTTACAGTCATATTCTTGGACACTGCCGTCGAGCGTAACAGAGGTGCCAGAAAGTTAGAGCATCAAAACAATTTTTTTAGAGAGCAACGTGCGGAAATCTGTTTGTCTCTAGTTCATCGTTGCAAAGCTTGTGTGTGATTACTTTGACATCGTAGAGTCTTAGCAACTCAGGTAGGTATATTATTGGGTAAAATGAATTACTGACAATCGTGGATGTTTTTTTTCGGATTCAAGAAAAACTGCTAGAAAGTTAGTTCTGGTTCTTCTTCACACTACTTTGAGTCAAAGTATTTGTATTTCGAGAGCAAAGAGCAAAGTTTCTTCGAATAACTACATAGTAACCACAGAAATCGAAATCGGTTCGATACCTACGCAGGAACTCCGACAATACATCAATCAAAGGTCACCCAGTTTTCAACTACACAGGAACATGATAGCAGTAATGACGCTTTTTAATAGATATTAATGAACAAATAAATAACTTGCGATTATAGTGCATTATGTAAGAAAGCCACAAAGAACATTTTTGTTTAGAGACACTAGCTTTCCAAGTAAGACTTTTGTCGAAACGTTCACAAAATAATGACTTTCGTGGTAATAAAAGGGCGCTCAAAACGAGGATTTTCAGCACATGCAGGTTCCTATAAGTGAAAACAATGGAGGAGTTAAGTTCAGAAAATGGAAGAAAAAAGCAACAGTACTAATTGGGCAATCTTGTGACTCTTGCATTGCAAATATTAAGAAGATAAACTGGACTGAAGTTTGTGTAGAGAAATTTAGAGAACTATGAGAGTGTCTTAATGATAAAAAATGTGACGCTAAAAGGGAATTGTGCAATAAGCGTTAATTTATCAACTAGTCTTGTTTTAGAGGCCCTTAATCGACTCTACAGTGTTAGTACTAAAAGTGTTGCAGAAGCAAAAAGAGGGAAGTTAACTCGAAGGTTAACGTGATTTTTGAGGAATGACATAAGGTTAGAAACTTTTGAAATTATAAGAACGGTTAAGAGCAACGCATTTTTGCATGAGATTGTTGTGGTCGTTCCAAGCTGCAAAAACTAAGCTATCCGAGATTGTTAAGCAATGACAGGCTTCACTGGGAATGGAAGGCTAACATACGGGTTCTTGAGACAATGCCTGCATTATCAAGCAATAGGAAGTGAAAAAGACAAGGCTATGATGGCTATTTCACCAGAAATCTTAGATTTTGCGCAGCTTTATGACGCATGCGATATAATTTGGAACAATGACCTCGACTGAAAGCGATTGCAAGAGAAAATCTATGCTGACGAGATTATTCGACCGCTAAAGGCAAATGGTCATAACCGGCAATGGAAGAAAATTCAGAAGAGCGGTCACTATCGATAGCTGGTTTAGAGGTCATCTTTCACGAAGACGAACGTTTCGAACCGCAGGTATGGTTTGTGGCTGTGGTCGGACGATGCCTAGCATCGCTGACCTCAATCCACGGGACAATGAAAGTCGTAGATTGCAAAGCGCACGCGAATTACGCGCACTTTGGACTTGGGAAGATCCATAACTCTTGTCCGGTTGAATTAAGTAAATCTAAATCTCGCTCTTCTCATAAGTATTCATTGAGAATAATGTATGGGGAAAATGACTTGCGAGCTAAGTGCTCATAGCGATCTGGCTGGTTTTAGTGGACCGTATATTAAGCGCTAGGGTGGCAAGAACTACGGTTCGTATCCGCATCATGGAAAAACTAGAATTCATATAATTATAAGAGAAACTAGATTTATTACCCTCGGAAGCTAACCACATTATTATGGCGAAGTTTGATAATTTGATATAGATAGTAAAAGCACCGCCGTAAAAAGATTTTCCACACTGTTCGATTTTTTAGAGGTCTCAAAATTATAGAACTACTCTACTTGCTCCTGAGCAAAACTTGCGCACTCTGAGCGCGTCTATAAAACCTTATGATTTTTGACCAAGCGATACAGAACAGCGAATTTGTCTTCGGCATTTTTTTAAAAATCGTATCTCTTTATAGAGAAAAAGAGCAAGTAGTACATGGTGTCTATAATTACCTACTGCTCTAATTTTTTTGCAAAATTCAAATTTTTTACGACCGGACATAGGAAATTCAAACATTGAGTAATTTTCTTACCCGGCTTCGATCTCCGGAGCTTGCCTTTGATAAGCGCCATTTTAAGTAATACAGAGTGTCCCAAAAATTGTATCGAACGTTTGATCTTCAATAACTTCCCTATATGGGAAGCTTTCGTGAATCTTTGTGCGTCATACGGTAGAGCTAGGTTCAACTTAGATTTACAGTATAGAGCGATACACCTATCCCCTTAGTTACTGTAGGATTACGGTAGGAATTTTCGACTAATTTAAAGCTTCTGACAGAGGAAAACTGCTTCTAAAAAATCCCGAATCGAAGGATGTTGAAATGAGGTTTTCAGGGATGCTGAATCTAATTACAAAGTTTTCCGCTACCGTACTTTTCATCTTCCTACGGTATGCGCACTGTAACTCTAAATTTTTGGCTTTTTTCCAAAATTTACTAAATCTACGTTGTCCTCGTCAATAAATCAATCAAATTTTGAAAAAAAAAACAAAAAATTTAGCGTTACAGTGCACATATCGTATGAAGATGAGGAGTAAAAACAAAAAATTTAGCGTTACAGTGCACATATCGTATGAAGATGAGGAGTACGGTAGCGGAAAATTTTGTATTCAGATTCAGCGTTCCCGGAAACCTCAGTTTAACGTCCTTCATTTTTTTAGAATTTTTTAGAAGCAGTTCTTGCCCGTCAGAAGCTTAAAATTAGTCCAAAATTCCTACCGTAATCCTACAGTAACTAAGGGGATAGGTGTATCGCTCTATACTGTAAATCTAAGTTGAACCCAGCTCTACCGTATGGCACTTAAAGATCCGCGAAAGCTTTCCGTATAGGGAAGTTATCAAAGATCAAACGTTCGATACATTTTTTTGGGACACCCTGTATATCAGAAAGATCGTGATTTCCTCCTTCGTGCAAAAATAGGAAAGGAAGGAAATTATGATTTTCGAAAATGGTGCGACACAACTTTTGGGCCAACCTAACTTATTACTGGCCTTACTGAAGGGCTCTCCGCCTCTTAACCCCCACAGTTTGAGCTAAAAAAACTGCTCTCATAGATTTATAACAATCACTTTCACATCTCCTATTCTGATTTAGCTATCATATGCAATTAGAACATCTTCAAGTTTATTACTTGGTTTTTCAATGTGGCGATTCAAGAAAATATTTTTGTGCTTTACATAACTAATTACCCGTAAATAAATTGTGTCTTCTCCATTGCTGTATGTTTTTTTATTCACTGTAATGTCGCGACAGGACAGATGCAAAAAATGACATAAATGGAAGTTAGGCTCATTACTCTCGAAACCCAAATCCGTCGTCGTGATGCAAACGGCGCTGACGAAACAATTGGAAACGCGTTTGCAAATCTTGGCCTCAAGCTGGCTTTTGTGAAAGGTCGTGGGTATAGGTAGAAGCTCTGACTTGACCAATCGTAGAAATCTGCTATAACTCTATTCATCACAAACTGATGTTTGCCGATAAATGCAATACCGGATTACCTACAAGTGGCGCTACGATATGAATAAACTTGAGGTGTTTTTGAAATTTAAAAATGTTTTTTTTTGAAGAAGGTCCCAACAGGGATTCGTAAGAAGGAGATTGATG